CAATTTTTAGCTGTTTCTTCATTGGTATAGTAATTGTAAGAGTTAAATATGAAAATAACTTTTGTATTATGCATTTTTTTGTTAGTTTAATATTTTAAAAAATAAAATTAATAATTTAATATTTAAATTTTTATTTGTCATCTAATTTGATATCTCAAACTAATGAGATTAGAATTTTACTTTTAAAATAGTTAATTAGGAGATATTTCTTCAATCTCTAGAAGTTGATTTGAAAATCCCATAAGTAATAGATTGTGATTAATCAAAATTTTAAAATATATATTTAAATTCAGTTCATTTGTAAAAATATTTGATTTTTTTATCTAAATAATATTTTTTAAATAAAAAAGAAAAGCATAAAATTAAAAAAAAAAAAAAGCACTTTGGTCTCTTTAAACTCAACAAAAATTCACCAACCCAGAATAAAATTAAGAAAATATTTGAAAAAATGACCAAAAAAGAAAAAAGAAAGAGAGAAGATGAGTTTATAGTTTAAAGGATTGTTGCAAAGAAATTTAGAGAGAAAATCAACATTTATTTTTTGCTTTTTTTTTTGTGAAGGATAAATTTTTAGCTGTTTCTTGATTAGTTTAGTAATTATAAAATTAAATATAAAAATAGTCTCTATACTATTATTGTTTATCAATTTAACATTTTAAAAAATAAAGTTATCAATTTGATATTTGAACTTTAATTTCTTTATTTATTTTGGTAACTTGAATAAATGTTATTAGTCAATTTGCTAACGTATTATGAATATTTAATAAGATGTCGACATGTGTCAAAAGCAATTAACAGTACATCATCAATTATCATGTCAGCATTAAAAGAATTTTTTTTTAATTTAAAAATTTTTTAAATGTTTAAAATTTTTTCCAAAAAATTGAAATATTTTATAAATTTATAAAAAAATTTTAAAAAATGAAATATTTTTTGAAATTGTAAAATTTAAAAATTTATGAAGACTTAAAAATGTTCAAAAAAATCTCAAAATTTTAATGAAAAATCTAAAAAATTCAAACAAATTCAAAACAATTAAAAAAAAACTAAAATTTTAATAAAAATTAAATTTTCTTAAAATTCAAAAAAAGATTCATAAAAACTTAAAAATTGAAAATAAAAAATCTAAAAATTTTTAAAAAGATTTGAAAATAAAAAAAATCTAAAAATTTATTAAAAAATTCATCACAATTTTTAAAAAATTCTAAAAGTAAAAAGATTTCAAATATATCAAATATTCTAAAATTTTAAAAAAATGAAAAATAAAATAACAAAACTTATAAATTTAATAAAAATAAAAATTTTCAAAAAAAATGAAAAATTCATAAAATATATATAAAAAAATTAAAATTTTAAGATTAAAAAATGAAAAATTTTCATAATTTGAAAAAGAAAAAATTTGTTTACAAATTGTTTAAAATTTTTAGATTTTTTCAAAAAATTTTAGACTTTTTTTTATTTTCAATTTTTTAAGTTTTTGTGAATTTTTTTAGAATTTTAAGAGTTTATGTGGATTTTTATTAAAATTTTGAGTTTTTTTTAAATTTTTTGAGTTTTCATAAAATTTTTTTAAAAAATTAGATTTTTTTTAATACTGTCATGAAATTAATAATATAGTGCTTAATATTTATATATATATCAATATTTTATTGAATATTTATGTCACACCAATAAATGATTGATGGCATTAGTCTTAAATATTAAAATAAATGTCAAAATTAAAATTAAAGTATCAAATTAAAAATTTTATTTTTTAAATATCAAATTAATAAAAAAATATATAATAAAGAGTCATTTTTATATTTAGTCCTAATAACTAGCAACCAAGGGCTCATTTAGATCGTCAGTTACTGCCAATGCAGCATGATTACAGTGCTCAATTGCGTCGAAAGCTTATTTGGATAACAAGTTCCAGTGTGATTAGGCTTCAGCCATCACACTGAAGCTTCAGTGAGCTATCAGAGCTTAAAGGGTCTGGTGAGATTTACGCCCTCAATTGTAGCTCTTTGTTTCCATTTCAGCTCACGTTTCAATATTTTTTTACTCTTTTACCCTTGGCATTATTAAGCTATAACAAAAATATCCTGATGGCTAACATTTGTTTTTTTTCTTTTTTATTTTTATTTAAAAATATTCAAATAATCTTACATAAATAAATATAATTACATAATAATTTTATTAATTTATTATAATAAATAAATTTTATTATTATATAATAAATAAATAAAATTCTTATTAATTTTATAAATTTAAATAATTAAAAATTTTTGTTAATATAATTTTTATTTTAATATCTTTAATAGTCATTTTTCTCTTTTTTATTACAATTTACTTCACTGTCACTATTATTTTTATATCTAAATACATATCTTACAATTAATTTTAATCTCACTGTTACAATATTTAATTTTATCGTTATAATAATTAATCTCACTTTTATTATTATTTTCAATCTCATTAAAATCAATCTCATCGTCCATCCAAATAAATCATATATAATAATAATTGTAAAAGAAAATGTTTTGTAAGAAGGTGTCATTGAGAACTTAGTATCAATCTATCAGGCAACAAATAAAAAAACCTTGAGAAGATTAAATAGTAACTTGTTATTGAGAGTTACCGATCTTAGATTCAAAATGTGGGTTGACATGGCTTTCTAACAACTCGGGTGTTAAAAAGCAATTGATAATTCAACTGTGTCCTTCATCACATCCAATGGAAAAGATAGAAATACGAGAAAAAAAATAGTCAAATAGTAATTCTATTAGAAAATAAGAAGTCAAAATATTATTTTTGGTGAGATAAAATATTCTACTATAATAATGTAAAAAAATTATTTTTTGGGTGGTATAATTAGGGGTATAAATGATACATTAGTACTCGCAAGTTATTCGAGTTCGATTCAAATAAAACTCGAATTTGGTTCGATTATTATCGAGTCGAACTCGAGCTTGAGTAGCTTGACTTATTGATCGAGTCGAGTTCGAGTATTCTTATATCCAACTCGAATAGCTCGTGAGCCTAATCGAGCTTTTATATTTAAATTTTTTATTATTTTAATCAATAAAATATCTCGAATTCGAGTTCGAGCATAAATAATCTAGTTTTTGTCTAGTATAAGAATCGAATTTATTTTAACATATTAATTGAGCTTAATCGAGCGAGTTTGAGTAGCTCAATTTTGATCACGAATCGAGCTCGAGCTAAAAAAATAAAATTCAATTGAGTGCGAATTCAAGTCGAGTATCGAGCCTCGAGTTAGGAGCTAAGCTCGAGTTTCTCACTATATCGACTCGATTCAACTCGATTACACCTCTAGATATGACCTATGCCATCCTTATTGGACCTTCCTAGCTAGGGCCTCTTATCCTTCATTCTTAGGTTAAATGCATAATTTGACCTCTCAACTTTTTTTTTAATTTTTTTAATTAAACATATAAATTAAGATAATATAAACATAAAAATTTTTAGAAAATTCAAAATAAAATTAAAGCTATTAAATGACCAATAAGACTTTTATTGTAAAAAAAAATAGAAAGAAATAATCATACTTAAAAGTTTAAAAAAACTAAAATTAAAACAATTAACAATATTTTTTGAGTAATAATTCAAAAAAATTAAAGATTAAATAAATTTATAATTTTAATTTTGAAATTTGAATTGTTGATTATGAAAAAAATAAACACATAACATCATTTGATACTATTTATATATAAAAAATTATCATATATACATAAACTTATTTGGGTTTTTTAAGTTAATATATTGAAATTATTTTATATATATATATTAAATATTTCTAGCCTATTAATATGTTTATATAATCATTAAATAATAAACAGTAAATATGCAAAATTATTTATAATTAATTAATTTTTTATTTAAAATTTCATTTTTTGAATTAATGATCAAATTAATTAAATTAATTTATAAAATGTAAAAATATTGATATTTAAATATAATTAATTTGGTTATAATAAACTATTTTTAAATCAATTATATAATCAAATTAGTTAATTATATAACATATTGTATTTACCTATGACATTTCACGTCAAAAATATAATCTATTTACATAGAAAATTTTTTTTGCTAAAAATTCTAATTTTTATATATTTATAAAAGATGAGATGAGATATGTCATTATAATAATGTAAAAAAAAAAACTTGGGGTGCAATGGACCCTACCATCCCCTGTCCCTCCTAGCTAGGCCCCTGTTCTCCATTCTTAGGCTAAATTACACTCCTGCTACATTATATTTTTCAGTTGTCTAAAATACTTTGATAACAATAATTTATCACATGAATTCTACATGTGAATGATTTTTTTGGTGAAATATTTTTAAAATATTTTTTATATTTTTATTAGTGTTAAAAAAAGAGTAAGATTTTTTTTTCCTTGTTAAATTTACGATTAATTTAATATAATTAACTCTCTCAGATTTTTAATAATATACAACATTACTCTTTAAATTTTGTGTTCCTCAAGCATTGTCCTTCATTAACCCCCCCAATATTTGTACTCAAGCAGACGAAAGAAATTTTTACCATGAAGTAAAAGAGATCTCATCATGATGGTCGCCACTGTTTCTCTTTATATACTGCCAACTTTTCATAGAAAATTTGTTTCCATTGGCTTTTTGTGCACAGATTGCAATATTTGAGTATGTTTGATATATAATTATTTTTTTATTTTTAAAAGTTTAACAATGGTAGCCTTATTCGTTGATTTTAAAACGTTAAAAATAATCATAAATTTACAAGGGAAATGTTGATGTAGATTAACTTTCGAAATTGCCCTCTCGTATCCCTTTGAATATGGGTCGTTACATCCGGGGCCTACATTGGGCTACGAGTTTTGAATAAGGACTTGATATAGCTGGGCCAATTTTGGGCAAAAGGTCCACTGAATGTGTAATCGGTCCAAAATGACGTGTCATTTGTTGCATTCACGGTATTGGGAGAGAGCGTGTTGTCCACAAGTTCTCACCCACTTTCGATTCCAAGTTCGCCTTAAGTTCCCACCCACCTTTGATAACGCCGACAGCATCTGCCATCCAAAGGCAGATAGATAGGGGGACAGAGACACCAGAGCAGTATTCTCAAATTCGGACTCATTCAATGGCGTCCACCATGAGTACATACGATGCTGGCTTCTGCCGCAACATATCATTGACTGTGGGGCCGAGGCGGAGACGAATCCCTGGTTTTGGTGTTGCTACCGTTAATGCAAGGCCTAGGCGCTCAGCAACTGTGGTGGTCAGGGCAGAGGGTCAAACCATAAACCCAGAAATAAGGAAGACGGAAGAGAAGGTGGTCGACTCTATTGTGGTTACTGAGCTTTCCAAGCCCCTTACTGCTTATTGCAGGTTGGTTCTCTCTCTCTCTCTCTCTCTCTCTCTTTTTAAGTACATACTATTTCTTATCATAATAATTGATTTCATATGTGATTGAATTTCAGTATATTAAGTATTGATTAATTATAAACTGAAGGTGTATTTAATTGGTTTTGTTTTGTTTAAACATAGATGCTGGAGGTCAAAGACTTTCCCTCTTTGCGACGGAAGCCATGTAAAGCACAACAAAGCTACAGGGGACAATGTTGGGCCTTTGCTCTTGAAGAAACAGTAAAAATTTATAATTGGTGTTTTCATCATGGTTTGGTCCCCCATGTTAATTTTGATTTTTGAGCACTAAAATGTTAAAAACCTTTTAAGTTTTCATTTAGGGTTTGTGTGGTAGTCTTTTGATTGGGTTGAGCTCTCTGGTTTCATGTTGCCTGGTGTTTCCTCAATTATGTTGTCATATTAGTACTATTATTATTATTATTATTAGATATTCCGTCAGCTGCAAGAAACACTGCTGTTGTTTAAACCTTGTTGCATGCCCAGACATGTAACAAAATGAAAAGAAACAGTAGATTTATAATGCCTAGAAATGTATATCAAGTTATTGTCGTCGATTTTTAACCCACTTGGTTGCCTGGTATTTGAATATATATATCTTTTATATGTATAATTACAAGAGAAAGGGATGTGAGATAGAGAGTATATATATCTGTTACAGAGAAGAAGGGAAAGAGATAGATATAATGATCCATATCTTTTAGCCATAGTACATAACATATAAACTAACCATTTTGCCTTGTTTTATTTATGAGTTTAGATTATATATTCTACAACATTTAGAAGTTAGGTAGATATTTATTACAGTATAGATATTTATCTACCTTTATTTGTATTTGGTGAGTTATACCTTTTTTATCTTTTGGATTAAAAGAAATTGGTAAAGTTATTTTTGATTTATTTTATTATTCTCATCTTGGAGTGATAAAAGAAAGTGGGTAATCTAGAATTTTTATTTTAGATAGTTTTTTTTTAAAAGTTCGATTGCTTGAGTCTTTGGTTCTGGATTGTTTTCATTATAAAATTTTTTCACAAAAATCATTATTTGTTATAGTAGTGATATATAAAATTTTTGAATTTGATGAAATTTTATTTAATAATTTTTTTGCTTTTTTCATCATAGTAAATTTAATTTGTAAACTATATAAACTTGTTTTATTAAATTGTATAATAGTAATTTTTAAATTTTTATTTGGTGTTAATAAATTTGATCCATAAAAAACTTTTTTGATCTCTTAGATTCACTAAGAAATAATTTTATGATGGAAACAATTTAAAATTAAACCACCCGGAGAGCTCGGAACTGAAACCGTGTCAGTTGTCAGAGCCTTGGCCGTACTACCTGTCGCTGTGTGTATAAATGGTATCAGAGCTATGTGTGTATAAATGGTATCAGGCCTAACAACTTGCCAAGATAGTGAGAAGAAAAGTATGTTTCTAAAAGATTTGATTATTGAAAAATTGAAAAAGGAAAAGCCAAAAGAGAATCTTACTTTCATGGATCTATCCACTCTTAGCAACTTTAGTTCTCAACCTTCTTCCTTCAGATCTTCTTTTAGTTTATCCTCTCTTCCATCTCCTGTACTTAAAAAATCCTCTTCTTCTAAGCTTAAGTTCTTATATGAAGTAGATTATATTCCAGAAGAAAAGAAAACCCAACAAACAGTCTTATCCCTTGTAAATCCTTATACAGCTTTCTCAAACTCCTCTTATTCTCTTACTAGATTTTTAAAAACTCTTTTAAAACCCAAATATTCAACTCCAAAAGAATATGTTCAAGCCACAAACTTTGATCAATGTATTCTTCCAGCAGGACCCCAAGAGCACTTTGTTACTCTTCAGATCTCAGAAGAATTTTCTCACCAGTGGTCAGAACAAGGATACACTCACATCCACTTTGGTGTTATCAGAATCGCTTTAACTTTTCATGGTAGAAATGGAATTCCTGTCTGTACCAGAATGGTCTTATTGGACACCAGATTTAAAGATTACAAGCATGCAGTTCTTGAAATCGTCGAGACGACCCTCAATGCAGGAACTGTCTTTTTCATAGTCTTCCCAAATTACAATATGTCTCTTCATGATCCAACCCTGTTAGATGCTTTAAAAGTTCAAGTCCAGATCGTAGGCACAGAAATGAAAGGCCTCCAGGCAACCTTTCACTACCAGATGGCATACAGAGTTTAAGATCATGCCATTAATTTGCCTCTTTCACACTTCAGTGATGCAGTCTTTGTTAAAATAGAAATAGCAGACAGAACTCCCAAATATGTTCATATTTCAAAGCAGATTTCCAATGAAGAACTTGCCACCCTTCTCCCAAAGACGTGGACGACAAGTTATCAAAAGATTTGGAAACAAGATGAGCCAATTGAACACTTTGATCCAACCTACAAGACAAATCAGGATGGTACTGTCACAATTGAATTTGATCATAGCAAAGAAAAAGATGTTCCTCCTCCAACAATCTTTTCAACACAATTTATGATGCAAAGATGCCATGTTGATCTCCTTGATGTTCCAGTCACACACTTTCAGTCCAATGGAAATCCCGTGTATGCATATAAATCTCCAAGAGGACATTGCTATTGGGACATAAATTGTCAATGCAAAGAATGCCAGATCGATGCAGATAAAAGCTTCCTAGATGATGATGATGATATTCCAAAGAAGTAAAAGAAGAAAAAGTCTTCTCAGCAAAAGCTCAAAGAAAGATATGAAAATGGAGACCCTGAAGTTGATCTCCTTGGTGAACCCTCAGGAAAGTTTGACTACTATGTCATCTATCCTAAGAATGACAAACCACCCTCTCAAACCTACTCAACTCAACCCACACACAAACCAAATTCCTCTCAAGATTCCACCCAACCTTTACCACAAATCTCCATGATGCAACCAACCTATCCCAATTCAACCTTCCCTCCTTTTGAAGAATTTCATAAAGACTAATACAAACACATTCCAAAAATCCCCACTCCCACTGACAGAGATGAATATGGAAACCAAAAAAGTGTTTCTCGTGCTGAAACAGTTTTAAACTGGCAAACTGAAAATTCTCTCCAGTAAAATTTTTACTTGCACAGAATTGAACATAAGTTGGACCAAGTCAGTCAACACTTTGATCAAAGCGTTGTCAATCTCCAAAATATTATTCTTGAAATTCAGTCAAGGATAATCACACTTGATCAAGAACTCAGATACATGGCTGAAAACAACACTGGTATGACTTATGCTTTCACTGAACGAGAGAAAGAAATGAAGAGCCTAAAGATTCAACTTGCAGACCTTCAAAATCAGTTTCGTCAGAAACACCAACAACAAGAAGCAGCTTCGAGTTACAACATCTTCATACCATATCATACTGGTATGCATGATACTCCTTACTAAGCCTATACTCCTCCCACATTTCAACCATACAATCTTCCAACCTCACCTCCAAAACTTTTTTTCACACCTTTTCAGTATAAACCTCTCCCAACATCTATTCCAACATCTTCACAACCAACACAATACATTCCTCTTTCAGAACAACCAGACCAACCCTTTTTCGATACAACTGAAAAATGGATTCACAGATTTAGAGAAAAACAACCAGTTGATCCAAAACCCAAAAGAGTAGCAGAACAACCACTTTCTCAATCTTCAAAACCACACCCAAGCTCAAGATCCACAACTTCTCAACCACATCTCTTGTAACAAAAATCTTCCTTTATAAAAATATGTTTGGCTAAAAATCTCTCTTCTCTTTTGGTGATTTCATCTTTCTTTTTTCATAGTTACATCTTTTTAGCTTTCTCTTTCTCTTCAATCTATTCAAAAGTTTACAGTGATACAAGTTGAGTATGCTCTGCAGTTGTCATATTATTATGGATCCTCTGTAACAGAAACTCTTGTTAATCTGTTAAACAGATCATTGATCCCTTTTTCTCAGCTAAAGAAAACTCATATCGTCTTAAGATCATACTAATAATAAGTTACTATAATGAAAGACATATTTCCATAAAAGTCAGGCCCCTAGTTCGACGTTAAGCCAAGAAGGCGCCAGAGTCTTGAACACTGGCTAGAATACCTTGGTTATATGTCTGAGCTATGGAAAGCTTATCGTTGGTATTATCTTGTCAAGTTTGATCGATCTTCACGCTGTTGTCATAGTACCAGATAGTATTGTCAGGACTCTACCACTCGGAGAGCTCGAAACTGAAGTCGTGTCAGTTGTCAGAGCCTTGGTCGTACTACCTGTCGCTGTGTGTATAAATGCTATCAGATGATGATCTTGAATCAATTTTCTCCCTTGATGATGAGCAGAATAAAAGATCCCTGTTTATGATTAAGCAGTTTGATGATGATGAGTATGCAGATTCAGATTACTCAGAATACTCAGATGATTTGACAGATGATCAATGTTATGAGTATATGTCAGTTCAAGAACTCCAAAAAATCCAAACCATTCAACCTTCAAAATTACCCCTAGCTCCAGTTCAGATTTTCACTCACAAACATTTCCCTCCTATAACAGTCACAGTTTTCTTTGATACTGGTGCAGCCCAAACCATAGCAAACCCTCTTGTCTTACCCAAACACTTTTGGATAAAACAGAAAATCTTTTTTAAAATCGCTGATGAAAATGTATTTTTTACAGACTTTATCAGCAACCCTGTTACCCTTCAAATCCTTTCAGGCTGTCGAATAACTCAAAAGATTTTAGGATCTCCACTTCCCCAGAAAGACCTTGTTATTGGTTTCGATATAATAACCAGTATACCAGGTTTAAAGCTTAGTGGAAATGGTATCAAGTTTGAAAGTTATTTCAGACCTTGAAAAAACCTTTCTAACCTCTTTACCCTTACCCTTCAATCAGATGTTTTTCAAGATTTCAAACATAAGTTCATTCACTTTTCATGTGCAGAAACTCACTCAAATTTTTTTCAGAAATGTGATCACCCATTTTGGCAAAACCCTGAATTTTTCATTTCCCTTCCCTTCAAGAAAGATGAAAATGCCAATCCTACAAAAGCTAGTCATTCAGGCATGAACTCAGATCATTTCAAGCAAGCAATCCAAGAATATTCTTTTCTCCAGGTTCAAGGATTAATTGAACCAACCTCCTCTCCATGGGCGTGTGAAGCGTTTTATGTCAATAAACGTTCAGAACAAGTTCGTGAAAAACTCATATTGGTAATCAACTACAAGCCTCTTAACATTTTTCTTGCAGATGATAAGTTCCCTTTTTCAGACAGAAAAACTTTGTTCGTAAATTTAGCAAATGCAAAAGTCTTCTCAAAGT